AATAAAATAACTACGATAACCACTAGCTTCTTAAAGAAGTGGTGCGTCTACTGATAAATTAAAAAAGTGACGCATCTATCTAGATTAGTTCCAGTAAAATAGGTATTTTTTTGTTTTTTAAAGTAAGAGCATGTTTGTTTTTCTATATAGAATTTTTTTTTTAAAGAAATTTATTTTTTATTTTAAATTTATTTTTTATTTTTAAATTATTTTGATGTTCTAAGATCAAAAATAAATAAAAAATATTATTTTAATATATTTTTAAGTAAAAAAATTTAAAAAATACTTACTATTATAATATTAAAGACTCTAAATTTTTATTCTGACATGTATATAATGAGTTTTTATTTCATTTGGGTGGAGGTAGAGTCCACCCTAAAAAACAATTAATATAATACTCACATAAAAAATTAATTTAAAATTTTATTTAAAAAATATTCTAGTCTTGATTCTCAAATAAAAAATTAATATGAAAAACAATATTATGTAATAAATATATTGTTTTATTTTTTTTACAAAATAATAATAATAATAATAAATATATATATTCACATTCTAGATTCTATATTTTTTTTAAAGAATGAAAAACATATAGATAAATTATTTACGCGAGCATAATATAGATAAATAATTTATATTGCTTATAAAAAATTATTATAGGGTTGTTCTCTTAAAATAAATATCATCTCATCTTTTAACCTTATGGTCATTGTAGGTCTACAATTATAGACTCTTATAATTCAAAATACGCTTAAAAATGTAATATAATGATATCATAATTCAGATTAAAACTTGAAATGCAATAGTATAAAAAAGGAATACATTTCTGATTTGGAACTTGATAAACATGTATAACATTAAATTCATGTAAATATTCATTTCACTGCGCTTCTTCTGTTTATAAAAGTAACAAGAGGTTGATAATAACTTAGTAGGGGTTCTATTTGATGGTTTAATGTCATGAAGACCTAGTCAATGTTTATGTTTTGTAATAATAAATAAATAGGATACATTGCTCTTGACATGGCATTTATCATGTTCAATACATAGTTTAAGTTTATCTACATTTATTTTTTTATGCTTTAATTATATGTTAAGTTCTTGTTACTTTTTCATTGTAATGGTTGAGAAGGTTTTTACTTTATTTTACGAAAGCTTGCAAGTTCTTAAAAAAAATAAAATGGTAGGTAGTACAGCTATTGATTAAATTAATGCCCTTGTTTATTAAATTCGTCACACTTCACTGTCTGCAAAGGGACAGTACCTCTAATGTCCACACTCTAATGTCGGATTTCGACATTGATAGCACATACTGTCGTGACTATTTCTATCGAAGATTATATAATATAACAGCAGCAGCCCTCAAATATCTGTAAAATAACAAACTAAAAATCCTAAGGCTTTCAACAAGTTGCAGGTTTTTTTTTTTTTTTTTTATAGTCATCAAGAATATATTGAAAAGGCTAATAGCTAAAGAAAAATACATAGGCATGACAAAAAGAAAATGATCCGCTACATTTGCAGCTTTTGCTTTTAGAAAATGATGAAACATGTTTTTATTTAAGCTTTACAATCGTATAAAATATAAATTTGATTATATTTGCGGCCGAATTTGGATAAAGTTGAAAACAAGATATAAAATAAATAAATAAATAACCCATTTAATTCTTTATAATAAAATAAAATAAAAAACTAGCATTGTGAATATGAAGTTGCGTGTTGGACATGTGTAATGATTCGATTAATATATTGGTTATGCAGGTAAAATGTAACATGGTATTTTAAGAGCCTGTTTGGTAATGTGATTGTGGTTATGTTTTAAATAATTTTTTGTGTTAAAATGTATGTCAATAATATTTTTTTTATTTTTTAAAAATTATTTTTGATATCAGCTCATCAAAACGATCCAAAACATACAAAACATATTAAATTTTAACAAAAAAATTTAATTTTTTTACCTAAGTAATCTGTACATGTGATGATGCACGTTATTCACACTTAGACATCCACATTACATGTTGTTCAATACTTCTATTCTAATATATATCTTAATATATTTTTTTTTGTTTCTAAAAATTAAATTGGATATCCATCACCGCTTAGTAATACACTTCAAAACTTTCAAATTATTTTCTAGTGTTTGTGGCGCACATAAATTTTGATTACAGAGTAAAAATATTTATCTTTTCACTAATAAAACAACAAAGCAATACATTTAATGTTGAACATTAACCTCTCTACTATTAGTACTCATTTCTTTCCCCTCACAATGAGTTCCCTCGTCACAAGGTTTATAAATATCTTAGACTCATCAAGTAACTTAACATGAGCAACAACACAAAAATAAGTCCTCACAACTAGTCTTTGAACACAAAACAAAGCATACCACAACCACAAAAGGCCACAAAGCACAATACTACTCCTACGTTTTTGCTACACTGCTTATTGTTTGCACTATTTACTTTCATGTATAACATACTCCTCTCTTTTTTTATATTTATTGACTTAACTATTATAGTGTTCCACAAAAGGCCATAAAGCATAGTACTACTCCTACGCTCTTGTTACACTGTTTATTGTCTGCACTACTTATTTTCATATACAACATACTCCTCTCTTTTTTATATTCATTGACTTAACTATTATAGTGTTTCATGTTTTAATAGGGGACTTGTTTTGTTAAAAAACTCTTGAAAGTCACCCATCAACTCACGAGAGCAGTGGTCAAGCCAAGTCATTTCATCAGTTTAAGATCACAGTCATAGAAAGCCTAGTCCAATTCTAAAGTTTTCATGATTTCATCAACATACCAATGGATTGGATTTAAAGAAAGAAGTTAATATAACTCCAATGTACATTGAAAAAAACTCGAATAAGATTTTATAAGAAATGAACAAAGAATGCATAATCGAGATGATGAAATGGACATAGAAAGTTAATGGTAACGATATATTATTATATGCAAAACATCTAGACTTGCAAATCTAACTATGATGTGCCTCTTCTAAAATTGACTTTTAACAAAACCTAAAACTTGTTGGTTTTAATTTGTAACTAATATTTAACTTGCATGTTACACCAAATCTAGTTTATAATTATATATTTTTTTTTAGACATTGTATTCTTTTGTTATACATGTTAAGACTTTATGTTATTTTGATTGCGTATTTTAAGATCTTGTTTTATCATTTTAGATAATTTAATTTATGTTTTACATGATGGATGGACACGTAATTTATTAAAAATCCTTTTCT